GTTCTGTGGAGTCCTGTGACCCCGCCTCGGGACTGGCCTCAAAGAACCAATGACCAGGGGCTCTTGCGTTTTATTCTCTCCCACAGCTCTGTACCGCATTCAGCCCTCACTCGCCTGCCCGCACCGCAACGAGGCAGGTTGGTACTTGGCCATGGCCCATGAGACTGTGCTGGAGAGGCGCATCGTTGCAACCAAAGGCTCGTTGTCTTGCATGGGATCCGGGGCCGCGGATGTGCCGGGTGTACCTGGACGGTGTGAAGGGAAGGCCTTGACAGACTGAGGCCGAGCGGGGTCGGCTCTGAATGTGGGAGAGCAAGCGGGCAGGTCTTTATTCCCGGCACATTTTTTCGGCTGGGGGCTGCCCTGTGGCTCTGCAGGCGCGTATTTCTAGGTCCCTCCCAGTGTCTGCCCTGCTGCCGAGATCTCCTGCAGTCTCCCGAGCGCCAAAGAGGGACAATGGTGCCAGCGCGCCGCCTTCCCGTCAGTCCTTGTGTTACTGACTCACATTGCGTTTCCTCCGTGAGCAGATACCAAGCAGCACTTACCGTCCTATCTTTCCCTGGCTGTCCGCCCCACCCGTGCCCACCCGTCTGTCTGTTCTCTTTCCAGTAATATCCATCTGCTCCTCTTTATCTCTCTGCGCGATCTCCCCCTGTCCATGTGGTCCCTGTGAGATGGGGACAGGACAACAGTCCACACATATATCGTGTCACACGCCAACCCCAGCTTGTGTGTCCTCTCCACCCAGTGTGTCTGTGTTGCTTTGATTGAGGAGATCCCTTCGGAAGCTCGTGTGAGCTTCCCACGGCTCCCTGGGGCTCGCGGTTTGCAGAAAACCTCCCCGCCAGTTCTTGCTCGGCTCCGCAGCCCCGCGGTGGCACCGTGCTCTCTCGCAGCGCAGTAATACACGGCCCGGTCCGCCCGCGTCGCCTGCAGGAGCCGGAGCGTGAACCTGTTCTCGGAGCTATCGGTCTCCCCTTCAAAGCGCCCCGGGAAGCCGTCGCCGTAACGGTCCCCTTCTCGGTAAATCCAGGTCAGGGTGCCCTGCTCCCCCTTCCGGTACCAGTACATGTAATAGGAGCCCATGGAGCCTCCGTCCATGCTGCACTGGAAGGTCACTTCTTCTCCCTCCCACACGGCCAAGTCCGGGGGATGCTGCCGCAGCAGCACGGCGCTCCGGACCGCTGGGGAGAGAGGAAAAGCGCGTCCAGGAAGGAGAGACGGCCCGCCGGGCACGGGGAGAGGGGCAGCGCAGGAGGAACCACCCACGAGAGGAGCTGCCTGGGCTCCTAGCAGGTGTAATAGCACGGGAGGAGGGCACGTTCCCCAAGGATTTCTCTCCTACTCACTTGTGCAGACGGCGCCCAGGAGCAGGAGGAAGCAGCCCCTGCCCATCTCCGCCCCGGCCCGCAGGTCCTCACTCAGTCTCTGGCCTGAGGCCCTTCCCCCGCACAAGCCGC